TTGTAATTGTTAAGGACTGAAGTTTTTCAGGATAAAAAAAGAAGCGTAATAGAGCTAAGCACAGGCAAAATCCTAGAGAAAAACCTGGTTCAGTCTGCTTTCCACCAGACACTGGGAGATTAATTCACCTTTCAGCAGGACAATAACCTAAAACACAGGGCCACATCTACACTGGAGTTGCTTACCAAGAAGACAGTGAATGTTCCTGAGTGGCTGAGTTACAGTTTTGACTTAAATCTACTTGAAAATCTATGGCAAGACCTGAAAATGGTTGTCTAGCAATGATCAACAACCAATTTCACAGAGCTTGAAGAATTTTGAAAAGAGTAATGGGCAAATGTTGCGCAATCCAGGTGTGGAAAGCTCTTAGAGCAGGGGTGTCAAACTCATTTTAGCTCAGGGGCCACATGGAGGAAAATCTATTCCCAAGTGGGCCGGACCGGAAAAATCATGGTGTATATATAACTTAAAAACAACAACTTCAGATTGTTTTCTTTGTTTTAATACGATCAACATACAACATAAAGCTGGAGCCTGAGGACAGTGTGTCCAAAATAGTACAAGCACAACATCACTATTAATCATAAAACACGTCAAGTTTATTTGAAAATTCTAAAGAAAAAGAACACACAAACACACAATGCCTCAGTGATTAACAGAACTGTTTCACAGATCACAGAACTATATCAGGGTGTCATTTCTCAGGCAGAAATGTAGATAAAAATAATGAAATCCTGTTCCCCAAACAAGTGCAAGAACCACAGAGTCAAGAATAGGTTAAATATACAAATAAAATAAAATCAATTAAAAACAATAGCACATCAACATAAAAACATATAAACATAAATCTGAAAGCATTGCTCAAACTCCCGTAACAGTCCCGTTATTTTATCTTTGAACCGCTTCATGTCTGCCACATGTTGGGTCGCGCACACATTTTTCAGACAGGGGAAGTGAGCTGCATCACCACCGGCAAGTTGCGTCTCCCACAATGACAGCTTCAACTTGAAAGAACGTATGCTGTCATAATACTGCGTGACAACTTTGTTGTGCCCTTGCAGCTGTTTGTTCAAGTTATTCAGGTGCTCTGTAACATCCACCATAAATGCAAGGTCCTGCATCCATTCTGCGGAATGAAATTCTAACACTGGTTTGCCCTTTTCTTCCATGAACTGTTCAATTTCTTCTCGTAAATCAAAGAAACGCCTCAGCACAGCACCTCGGCTTAACCATCTTACCTCAGTGTGGTATGGCAGGCCATAGATGTGGTCTTTCTCTCTGAGAAGGCTGTCAAACTGACGGTGATTCAGGCTTCTGGATCGGATGAAATTAACAGTTTGGATGACCACCTTCATGACGTTATCCATCTTTAATGACTTGCAACACAAAGCCTCCTGGTGCAAAATACAGTGAAAAGTCAAAAAATCACGTCCTCCATTTGCAGATTGCACTTTCTCTCTGAACTTTGTCACAACGCCTGCTTTGAGGGCGCACCATCTGTAGCCAGGCTGACAGCGCGGGACCAGTCATCGGCACCAACTCCACGAACTCCTCGGTGACGGTCAATGTGTCATCAACTCCGCGGATGAAAATGGCCAGTTGTGCAACATCTGTAATGTCCGTGATTTCATCAATTGCAACCGAAAACGCAATAAATGACTTTACTTTTTGCTTCAACTGGCTGTCCAAATCCACTGAAAGATCGGAAATCCTGTCTGCAACTGTGTTTCTTGTCAGGCTGATATTTGCAAAAGCCTGCCGCTTTTCAGGGCACACAATCTCCGCTGCCTTCATCATGCATGTTTTTACAAATTCACCCTCACTAAATGGTTTTGAAGCCACTGCGATTTCATTAGCAATGAGGTAGCTAGCTTTCACTGCAGCGTCACTGATGTCTCGGCTGTGAGTAAACACAGACTGCTGTTTCTTCAGACCCGCCAACAGTTCATTCACCTTCTCTCATCTCCGCTGTCCTTGAAAGTTGTCATATTTGTCGGCATGAAGACTCACATAGTGGGCGACGAAGGTTACATTCTTTCAGCACTGCAACATGCTCTGAACACACCAAACATACAGCTTTCCCATTCAATTCCGTGAATAAATAGGATGACCATTTTTCTTGGAAACACTCTGCACTCTGCGTCCACTTTTCTCTTTTTTGACAGAGACATATTGGGCAATGAGGGTGCCAAAGCACATAATGTTAAAGTAGAAGCCGTAATAATATCGCGGGCAAAACAAAGTAGCTCATGGCTGCACGTGCTTGACCTACTTGCTCTGCCCCCGGATTAAACAGTTTGCTTGCTTAACACAATTGCTATTGCGCATCCACAGAATTACCCAAAGAGTAGCTAATTCATTGAATGGCTGTGATAGGAGAAAACTGAGGATGGATCAACAACATTGTAGTTACTCCACAATATTAACCTAATTGACAGAGTGAAAAGAAGGAAGCCTGTACAGAATAAAATATTCCAAACATGCATCTTGTTTGCAATAAGGCACTAAAGTAATACTGCAAAAAATGTGGCAAAGCAATTCACTTTTTGTCCTGAATACAAAGTGTTATGTTTGGGGCAAATCCAATACAACACATTACTGAGTACCACTCTCCATATTTTCAAGCATAGTGGTGGCTGCATCATGTTATGGGTATGCTTGTAATTGTTAAGGACTGGGGAGTTTTTTCAGGATAAAAAAAGAAGCATAATAGAGCTAAGCACAGGCAAAATCCTAGAGAAAAACCTGGTTCAGTCTGCTTTCCACCAGACACTGTGTCAAAGGTCGATGTGTATGCGGTGGTGAAGTCAGGCGCAGGACACAGAGGATAAGTAAAGATGACTTTACTCGAACACTAAATACGCACGAAAATAAACGTCTCCAACACTGGAGGGAAAAACACCATATGCGTAAAAGACACGATGAGTATAACACCGACACAATGCATCCAAGACACGCGGACAATAACATACAAAGACAAAACATAAAACAGGTGAACTTATACGTGACATAATCAATACAGAATACGAAACAGGTGTACCAACTAGACATGACAAAACAAACATCGAAAACATCAAGCGGTAGTAGCTAGTACTCCGGGGACGACGAACGCCGAAGCCTGCCCGAGCAAGGAGGAGGAGCAGCCTCGGCGGCATCCGTGACACACTGGGAGATGAATTCACCTTTCAGCAGGACAATAACCTAAAACACAGGGCCACATCTACACTGGAGTTGCTTACCAAGAAGACAGTGAATGTTCCTGAGTGGCTGAGTTACAGTTTTGACTTAAATCTACTTGAAAATATATGGCAAGACCTGAAAATGGTTGTCTAGCAATGATCAACAACCAATTTCACAGAGCTTGAAGAATTTTGAAAAGAGTAATTGGCAAATGTTGCGCAATCCAGGTGTGGAAAGCTCTTAGAGACTTACCCAGAAAGAGTCACAGCTATAATCGGTGCCAAAAAGTGCTTCTACAAAGTATTGACTCAAGGGTGTGAATACTTATGTAAATTTAGATATTTCTGTATTTCATTTTCAATAAATATGCTAAAATTTCTAAAATTAATTTAATCCGTTTTGAATTCAGGCTGTAACACAACAAAATGTGGAATAAGTCAAGGGGTATGAATACTTTCTGAAGGCACTGTATACGTTTTATATCAACTGTATGATCTAAAAGGCAAAACGTCAGTGTGATGTGAGTGATTTGTGCTTTTTGAGGTTGGTTCAGTTTCGGTTCGATTATAAAAACATTATCACGGCTTTCGATTATAAAACACAAACATGAAATGCATTATGAAATAATGACATTACAATGATTTTAGAGCTTTTTAATGGAAATTCCAAAGCCAAAAATAGTGAACGTTCAATTGATAAAACATTGAAAATATTGGAAATTACTATGAAATAATAAAATATTTCATTAGTGTATATTACTTTGTTTTTATTTGATGACTTTATTATTTTTCATTCCTTAATGTAATAATCTCATCTCTGCTCAGGCAGTAGCATTGCAGTCAGCCAGTCAGCCAGCCAGGTCATCTATCGTTATGTGCTCCCCATACTGTACTGTCTTTAGTCATCCTATTTAGCTAGCCTGCCTAAGTATGCTGCAGAACTGTCTGAGTAAATAATTTGACTAGTTCTTAAAAGTAGATGAGGCATACTTTCGCGAACTTTCTCTGTCCCTCTCGCTGTTGTGTTGTGTACATTCTGCTCGTATGCGGTCTATGCGGTCTGTGTTTATCTAACCTAACTTAGCAGGTGTAAAAGTGTATCGGTCCAGAGATCTGTATATAATGATGAGATCGCTCTAACAATGGGAGTTGTTGTCCCAAGGGCCGGAAGGAAGGCAACAAGCTTAGGTCCAAAATAATCCCATAGAAACGTATTGTGTTTATTTTAGACAGATTTAGGCAAGAATGAAGCTTTTCGCTTTGACTCTTCTTGTCTGTCTGTCTGAGTAAAAAAACTGGCACAATGGCATGTGGTCATTGTAGTTCATTACCACATTTCTGCGGTCAACTAGGTTGAATATTTGTTTAATGAAAACTACAACTCCCTTCAGCCCAGCGTCCCACATAGTTCTTGACTTGATTTCTCTCGTGAATGATTTGATATCTCTCTAGAGAAACGGCGCGTTGGGCTCACAAAAAAAAACATCACTAAATGTAATTCAAGTAATTGAACCAATGACGGTCAATTAGTTGTTTAACAACCCAACAAATTACCAAATGTCGGTTAATCGCTCAGCACTACCATTTCCTGAAGTGTGTAATGTATTATCCCCTTCATGCTGATGGGGGATTTATGCAGGTAATAGTCACACTGGCAGTCTAAACCTACTGATCCACTTAACTCACCATAGTCACTGTTCTCCTGACACAAACAGTGTGTTTGTGTGCGTGAGAGAGATTTCATTCCATTACATGTAAAACTATTAGGGCCATTCATGTTCTGTCATGATTTATTTCCAGCACCTTGACTTCAGGAAACACATGAAAGCAGACACAATCACCACAGAATGGCAGCCTCCAGAGGTATGACAGTCTTTTATCACCCTTATTCAATTTACCTATTAGCAGACTATATTTGTGTATTTTTCCATTCCTAAAATATCAGGTAGGCCTAAATACTGAAATAGTTTAAATTTGACTGTATAATAGTGCCATGGTATTAGTCTGTTACCATGGTGTTAATAGTGTGTTTCCATTGTATTTGTGTCCAGGTTATTGAGAAGTACCTGTCTGGTGGGATGTGCGGGTACGACCGGGAGGGAAGCCCCATCTGGTGGGATGTCATCGGCCCTGTGGACCCTAAGGGCCTCTTCCTGTCTGCCTCTAAACAGGAGTTCATAAAGTCTAAGATCAGAGACTGTGAGATGCTGCAGAAGGAGTGTGACCTGCAGTCTGAGAGGGTATGGGAAGGTTTCATTCATAGAAATATAATTACTAGAATGGGGATTCCCATTTAAATAAATGAGACCATTATCTATGGTTTCAGTACTGTATGTGGAGGGCCAGGAGTTGTACATGAACATACAGTGTGTTTGACAAGACCAGGAAAAACACCTGGCACCAACCTTACTGAGATTCGATTCCACCGATGAAGTGTTCCTGTAGAATCTTTGTCATCCTTGTTGAAAACCCTACCTATGGTCACAGATCTGACATACACTATATGTTCAAATTCGTGTATTCGGCTATTTCAGCCACATCCATTGCTGACAGGTGTATAAAATTGAGCACACAGCCATGCAATCTCCATAGACAAACATTGGCAGTAGAATGGCCTTACTGAAGAGCTCAGTGACTTTCAACGTGGCACCGTCATAGGATGCAACCTTTCCAACAAGTCAAGTCAGTTCATAAATTCTTGCCCTGCTAGAGCTGCCCTGGTCAACTGTAAGTGCTGTTATTGTGAAGTGGAAACGTCTTGGAGCAACAACGGCTCAGCCACGAAGTGGTAGGCCACACAAGCTCACAGAACGGGACCGCCAAGTGCGGCTGCTCAGCCATGAAATGGGTTTTCATGGCTGAACAGCTGCACACAAGCCTAAGATCACCATGCACAATGCCAAATGTCGGCTGGAGTGGTGTAAAGCTCCAGATTCTTCAAATTAGCCACCCTTTGCCTTGATGACAGCTTTGCACACTCTTGACATTCTCTCAACCAGCTTCACCTGTAATGCTTTTCCAACAGTCTTGAAGGAGTTCCCACGTATGCTGAGCACTTGTTGGCTGCTTTTACCTTCACTCTGCGGTCCGACTCATCCGAGACCATCTCAATTTGGTTGAGGTCGGGGGATTGTGGAGGCCAGGTCATCTGATGCAGCACTCCATCACTCTCCTTCTTGGTAAAATAGCCCTTACACAGCCTGGAGGTGTGCTGGGTCATTGTCCTGTTGAAAAACAAATGATAGTCCCACCAAGCCCAAACCAGATGGGATGGCGTATCGCTGCAGAATGCTGTGGTAGCCATGCTGGTTAAGTGTGCCTTGAATTCTAAATAAATCACAGACAGTGTCACCAGCAAAGCACCCCCAGACCATAACACCACCTCCTCCATGCTCATCCGTTCACCCACACCACGTCTCACAAAGACACGGCGGTTGGAACCAAAATCTCCAATTTGGACTCCAGACCGAAGGACACATTTCCACCAGTCTAATGTCCATTGCTCGTGTTTCTTGGCCCAAGCAAGTCTCTTCTTCTTATTGGTGTCCTTTAGTAGTGGTTTCTTTGCAGCAGGCCTGATTCACACAGTCTCCTCTGAACAGTTGATGTTGAGATGTGTCTGTTACTTGAACTCTGTGAAGCATTTATTTGGGCTGCAATTTCTGAGGCTGGTAACTAATTAACTTATCCTCTGCAGCAGAGGTAACTCTGGGTCTTCCATTCCTGTGGCGGTCCTCATGAGAGCCAGTTTCATCATAGCGCTTGATGGTTTTTGCGACTGCACTTGAAGAAACTTTCAAAGTTCTTGAAATGTTCCATATTGACTGACCTTCATGTCTTAAAGTAATGATGGACTGTCGTTTCTCTTTGCGTATTTGGGGCGGTAACCGAAAGGTCGCTGGTTCTAATCCCCAAGCCGACTAGGTGAAAAATCTGCCGATGTGCCCTTGAGCAAGGCACTTAACCCTAATTGCTCCTGTAAGTCGCTCTGGATAAGAGCGTCTGCTAAATGACTAAAATGTAAATGTAATGTATTTGTGCTGTTCTTGCCATAATATGGACTTGGTCTTTTACCAAATAGGGCTATCTTCTGTATACCCCCACCCTACCTTGTCACAACACAACTGATTGGCTCAAACGCATTAAGAAGGAAAGAAATTCCACAAATTAACTTTTAAGAAGGCACACCTGTTAATTGAAATGCATTCCAGGTGACTACCTCATGAAGCTGGTTGAGAGAATGCCAAGCGTGTGCATAACTGTCATCAAGGCAAAGGGTGGCTATTTGAAGAATCTCAAATATAAAATATATTTTTATTTGTTTAACACTTTCTTGGTTACTACATGATTCCATATGTGTTATTTCATAGTTTTGATGTCTTCACTATTATTCTACAATGTAAAAAATAGTAAAAATAAAGAAAAACCCTTGAATGAGTATGTAGTGTGTATGTATGTATATATATATATATATATATATATATATATATATATATATATATATAATGTGTATGTGTGTATTTGTTGGGCTATATAGATTGTTTATTTGTATTTACCTTAGGTTATTCTTCACAGAGTCAAGTATATTTGTCCAGGCCTCAATTATTCCTTGACTAGCACCATTCATTCTCGCTGTCGATATTTCTAATGTTCTAACTTCTAACATAACTGTATCCACTGGTGAGTTGGGAGAGAGTTAGGTGATTGCCATCTAAGAGCCAACATCTTTTTTGTCCACATACTTTTGGTCATGTAGTGTACTTTTATTAATGCTTTTCCTCTCCCTTCCACTTTCTGTTTTCTGCCTTCCCTCTCATCGCTCGCTTTCTCTCTCCGCCCTCCATCTTTCTCTCTCCATCTCTCTCCTCCAGCTCGGGAGGCATGTGGAAGCCATCACTATGATCTATGACTGTGAGGGTCTGGGTCTCAAACACTTGTGGAAGCCTGCCATCGAGACTTACGGAGAGGTACAAACACACACACACACACACACACACATTCTCTCTCAAACACACACACTGTTCTGTTGAATCCAGAGGGGGAAAGTGATCTGAGATGATACTGTTTGATCAAAGTGTTGTATCCTTACAGATCCTGACCATGTTTGAAGACAACTACCCTGAGGGCCTCAAGAGACTGTTTGTCATTAAAGGTACGTTTCAACACCACTTTATCATCATATCAAGCTATTATATCTGGATGTGGAGAAATGATCTGGAGAAGACAAACCATGCTATCGTTTCTCTGTGCATTTGAAAAAGATAGATCCTAAAGAAACCATGAATAATGGACATGACTCTTTTTAAAGATTGAATCCGCATTTGGGGAAACAGAGCCACTGTTTGCCCCAGCGCCTTTGTTTTGTTGATGAAACGGAGAAGAGGAGTGTCTGGCAGCGTTTCAAAAAAATGCAGTACATATTCTGCTGTTCTATCACGCGTGCAATGATGTCAGAGGGGAAAAAAAACTGTGTTCGTTGTTTGCAGTAACTTCTTTGTTGTTGTAATATCCCAAATGGAGGTGGCATTTTCACCAATTAAGGATTCCAGAGGGAGGTGTTACACCTTAGTATCCCAGTAGTAAACTTACTTATGTTGTGTGTCTCACATCTCTCAAACTGTTCTCTCTTCTCCACTCCTCAGCCCCCAAGCTCTTCCCCGTGGCCTACAACCTCGTCAAGCACTTCCTGAGTGAGATCACTCGCAACAAGATCATTGTCCTGGGGGGTGAGACACTTCCTTATTTACATTGGAATGTTCCCATAAGAATATACTGTTCTGGCCTCCCGAGTGGCACAGCTGCCTAAGGCACTGCATCACAGTGCTAGAGGCGTCACTACAGACCCGGGTTCGATTCTAGGCTGTGTCGCAGCCGGCCGCGACCGGGAGATTCAAGAGGCGGAGCACAATTGGCCAGCGTCGTCCAGGTTAGGGGAGGGTTTGGCTGGCCGGGATGTTGTTGTACCATCGCACTCTAGCGACTTCTTGTTGCGGGCCGGGCTCATGCACGCTGACTTTGGTCGCCAGCTGGACAGTGTTTCCTCCGACACATTGGTTCGGCTGGCTTCCGGGTTAAGCGAGCAGTGTGTCAAGAAGCAGTATGGCTTGGCAAGGTTGTGTTTCAGAGGATGCATGGCTCTCGACCTTCGCCTCTCCCGAGTCTGTACAGGAGTTGCAACGATGGGACAAGACTGTAACTACTAACTGGATATCATGAAATTGGGGAGAAAAAGGGGTAAAAAGTACACAAAAAAAAAACAAAAAAATGTTATATATATATACTGTTCTAGAATGCTGAATCATGTCAGCTCTATGCATGGCATTTATATTACAGTAGCAACATTCCATACATTGTGAATACATACAGTATATGGTTGCACCGTCTCTAACGCTACACAGCTTAACCCTACAGGTAGATAAAGGTAATGAATGCACTCACTAAGTCGCTCTGGATAAGAGCGTCTGCTAAATGACTCAAACGTAAAACGGTAGCATCAGTCTCTCTATCTCTTTACCTGTCTGTTCTACAGCCAACTGGCAGGAGGTGTTGCTGAACTACATAGACCCAGAGCAGCTTCCTGCTGCCTACGGAGGGAAACTCACCGACCCGGATGGGGACTCTCGCTGTAGGACCAAGGTGAGCTCACACCACCAGGAAGTGGGATGCTTTTTTCATAACCCCCCCCTGGAAATGAGAGAGCTTGCAGTGCCACCTATTAGTAGTTGCTCCACACCTGCCTAAGGGCTTTTGCAGTAGGAAGGACTCAAAATGCAGCAATATAGAAGCCATGCTGTGAGATGAGAGCAGCTTTGCTTTGCTGCATGCAACCACAAGATACTGCAGGCAGGACTAGTGTTCCTATGCTACATCCTGCTGCTAGTGGGGTCAGTGGAATCTCTGTAAGACTGTTGGACTTGTATGTATGATCCATTGAGATTGTGGGCTATATAGCATAATGAAACAATTTACAATGAGTCTTGACAGGCTTTTTGTTCCTTCTGGTCATTGAGATGGTTATAGGAGCTCCAGATGGTTTCCTCTGAGTCTGCTTCAACAGGTACAATCTGCTGATTTGGTATTTTTCGTAGACAATGCCACTTGGATATCTCATGGATCTGCTTATTTTTGCTCTTCAGTTCAATTCTGCCTTGCCACACGTGACCTTGCTGCCAGCCAGCCAGCTACCACCTCCCAATGGCCCATTAGTCATCTACCTGCCAATAGATGCCATAAAAGTTGCTAGTTGGATCTAGATGCCGGCTTGGGCAGACCCATGCAGTTACATTTTAAAAGTTCTTACCTAGGAAACTGACCCTTGGTCTGATGTCTCTGTAGATACATAGGTAGAGATGTCTTCCTAACCCGGAGAGGAGCAGGAGGAGTAGGAGGACAGGTCTTTGTCATCCCAAATGAGACCCAGGAAATGACCCAGGACCAACCTTTTTCCCTTTTGGAATCTTCCAGAAGACTAAGATTCTTCGGACTGAAATTCTCCCTACCTTCATGATTCCATTTTACTCAACTGAGTCATTTAGCCTTTCAACACAGGATTGAACAGGAACTTTAGCTTTTATCATTAGTAGCTATCCTATGGGGTTCTATGGAGTTTTTAGATCAGGGACTTAATTGGTAATCTCGGTTAACCCAGAACTAAATTATTGTGTAATTTGGTCAGATGCCATTTGTTAGGTTCTGAACAAACAGAATAAAAACTCAAATGGATGACAAAAAAAAGCTCAAACCCAAGTTTATTAACCCACTGGGTCATACAGCTGCAAAGATGAGGTATGATTACACTAGTACATGTCTTTTATATTTCAAATTATTATACAAAATTCTTGCAACCAATATAATGACTACATTCGTAAAGTATTCAGACCCGTTGACTTTTTCCACATTTTGTTACGTTACAGCGTTATTCTAAAATGGATTTTAAATATAATAATCCTCATCAAACTACTCACAATACCCCATAATGACAAAGCGAAAACAGGTTTTTAGACATTTTTGCAAAAACAAATACCTTATTTACATAAGTATTCAGACCCTTTGCTATGAGACTCAAAATTGAGCTCAGGTGCATCCTGATTCCATTGATCATCCTTGAGATGTTTCTACAACTTGATTAGAGTCCACCTGTGGTAAATTAAATTGATTGGACATGATTTGGAAAGGCACACACCTGTCTATGTTAAGGTCCCACAGTTGAGCTATGAGGTCGAAGGAATTTTCCATAGAGCTCCGAGACAGGATTGTGTCGAGGCACAAATCTGGGGAATGGTACCAAAAAATGTCTGCAGCATTGAAGGTCCCCTAGAGCTGGCTGCCCGGCCAAACTGAGCAATAGGGGGAGAAGGGCCTTGGTCAGGGAGGAGACTAGTACCTGATGGTCACTCCTCTGTGGAGATGGGTGAACCTTCCAGAAGGACAACCATCTCTGCAGCGCTCCACCAATCAGGCCTTTATGGTAGAGTGGCCAGACGGAAGCCACTCCTCAGTAAAAGGCACATGACAGCCCGCTTGGAGTTTGCCAAAAGGCACTTAGAAGACTCTCAGATCATGAGAAACAAGATTCTCTGGTCTGATGAACCCAAGATTGAACTCTTTGGCCTGAATGCCAAGCGTCACGTCTGGAGGAAACGTCTGGAGGAAACCTGGCACCATCCCTACGGTGAAGCATGGTGGTGGCAGTATCATGTTGTGGGGATGTTTTTCAGTGGCAGGGACTGGGAGACTAGTCAGCATTGAGTGAAAGATGAATGGAGCAAAGTACAGAGAGATCCTTGATGAAAACCTGCTCCAGAGTGCTCAGGACCTCAGACTGGGGCGAAGGTTCACCTTCCAACAGGACAACAACTCTAAGCACACAGCCAAGACAATTTAGGACTGGCTTTGGGACAAGTCTCTGAATGTCCTTGAGTGGCCCAGCCAGAGTCCGGACTTGAACCCGATTGTACATATCTGGAGAGACCTGAAAATAGCTGTGCAGCGACGCTCCCCATCCAACCTGACAGAGCTTGAGAGGATCTGCAGAGAAGAACTGGAGAAACTCCAGCTGCCAAAGGTGCTTAAACAAAGTACTGAGTAAAGGGTCTGAATACTTATGTAAATGTGTATATTTCTGTTGTTTTCTGGGTTTTTTTGCACACATAAAAAAAAAAAACTCTTTTTGCTTTGTCATTATGGGGTATTGTGTGTAGATTGATGAGGGCAAAAAAACAATTTCATCAATTTTAGAATAACATTTCTTCCAAGTCAAGGGGTCTGAATAGTTTCCGAATGCACTGTATATACAAAAGTATGTGGACACCCCTTCAAATCAGCCACACTTGTTGCTGTTAGGTGTATAAAATTGAGCACACCACCATGCAATCTCCATAGACAAACATTGGCAGTACAATTGGCCTTACTGAAGAGGTCAATGACTTTCAACGTAGCACCATCATAGGATGCCACCTTTCCAACAAGTCAGTTCGTCAAATTTTGCCCTGCTAGAGCTGCCTCGGTCAACTGTAAGTGCTGTTGTTGTGAAGTGGAAACGTCTAGGAGCTCAGCCGTGAAGTGGTAGGCCACACAAGCTCACAGAATGTGAATGCCGAGAGCTGAAGCGTGCAGCGCGTAATCATTGTTTTCCTCGGTTGCAACACTCACTACCGAGTTCCAAACTGCCTCTGGAAGCAATGTCAGCACAAAAACTGTTCGTCGGGAGCTTCATGAAATGGGTTTCCATGGCCGAGCAGCCGCACACAAGCCTAAGATCACCATGCGCAATGTCAAACGTTGGTTGGGGTGGTGTATATCTCGCCCCCATTGGACTCTGGAGCAGTGGAAACGAGTTCTCTGGAGTGGTGAATCACACTTCACCATCTGGCAGTCCGACGGACAAATCTGGGTTTGGCGGATGACAGGAGAACGCTACCTGCCCGAATGCATAGAGCCAACTGTAAAGTTTGATGGAGAAGGAATAATGGTCTGGGACCGTTTTCATGGTTCGGGCTAGGCCCCTTAGTTCCAGTGAAGGGAAATCTTAACGCTACAGCATACAATGACATTTTAGACGATTCTGTGCTTCTAACTTTTTGGCATCAGTTTGGGGAAGGCCCTTTCCTATTTCAGCATGACAATGCCCCCGTTCACAAACCGAGGTCCATACAGAAATGGTTTGTCGAGATCGGTGTGGAAGAACTTGCCGGGCTTGCACAGAGCCCTGACCTCAACCCCATCGAACACCTTTGGGATGACTTGGCACGCTGTTGTTTCTGATGAAGCATTTTAGATACAGTATGTAATAGTCGACGGAGGTTATCCAAGGTTAAAAGTTTTTTAACAAACCCGCTTTGGTTGTGTGGACCAATTTGGGTAAGTCTCCAATCTGGGTAAGTTGGGACGACAACTTTTTGGAAAACAGTTTAATATCTGTGTTTATCAAAGATAGTGAGAACAGTGGGTGGCCCCCCCTCCCCTGTTCCCCCCGCTATGCACTATCATTACAGGGTTGCAGCATAACGGGGATTGGCAGCCTTAAACATGGAGTCTCTTAAGCAGCATGTTTTTTTTAGATCTTAAGGGATTAAAAAAGAAATAAAGTAAAAGCTAAAATAAGAAACCATTTTCAGACCTTTACAGTTTAGTTAGCAGACTTGATGAGTTAGGATGGTTAATGAAGAAAAATGAAAGAAAAAGTCAATATAACAGTCCTAAACAGTCAAATAGAATGGCTGTAGGAGCAATAGCACTTAATCCATTGTCATAATTTATTATTAGCAATATGGTTTATATGACCTTGAAAATAAATATGCCCTCCATTTTTGTTAAGCATTTAACACTACAACTGCCTGGCCTTTGAGCCTGTTGGAACCCACTAAAGAACGTTGCCAGGCGTTCCCTTTAGCATACGCATGAGAAGCATATCAACCCGCAAGGTGCGCAAACATAAGCACCAATACTTGATAAATAGTGCATAAACAATTGTAACGCATTAATTGCATGAAGAAATATTTGTGGAAATATATCCATGTAAAAATATAACAACAAGTTATTTGTTTAGATAGAGTCAAGGATATGTTTTGTATAATTCTACAAAGTCCTAGTGAAAAACTTAGGCCTAAAGCCAATTTTCGACACTTCCAGCCAATGACCATCAACATTCTAACAGTCTAATAAATATATAAATGTTTTAAAAAAATAAAATAATAATAATAAAATAAATTTCATATACAGTATGCTATCTGAATAAGAATCATTTGGTTGTGTTTATAAAAGCCTTAGCTAACGTTAGAATACTAAAACAACTATTATTTCAAAGAACATAATAGCATTTTCATCAGTTTATGTTACTCTAGGCTACAAGTATAACGAAAAACCACTAGTTCAAGTCCATCACAAAGAAGTCCATTATAATTTCGTTTTTGGCAGGTCTAAAGAAACATTGTGAATATAAGAAAATGTATTTAAAAGAAAACAGAATAGCATTTTAAAACGTTATTATATTACTAGTCTTATAGCCAGAGCAATACTTCTGTGCGAGTGGTCATGTGCTGAATGAATGAACAGCACAGATATTCTTGGAAAAAGTGAAATTTTGAAATAGAGCTGCACCTCTTGAATTTTGAGTTTTTTGACAAAGGTAAGTGTCATAGAAACTGCAGAATATGATATGTCTGATACTATATAGAAATCAAAATGTTTTAACTGCAGGAGGAGATTTTTGATAAAGTGATGCTCCATTCCTTGCATCTGTCAATTACAAGATGTGCCCATCTCTTCATGTACAATTTGACAACTGATAATATTGTCACTCATCAGACTATTGTCAATTTAATCTTGTCTATAGGCTAAATCTTATTATGTGTGAAATTAGTTTCATTTAGGTGTAGTTTTGATGGGCCGGCTACGCAGTCTGACTGGCATAGTTTGTTTCCCCTCACTCATCAACTTGGATAGGGTCAAGGATAGCGTTTGCATTATTCTAAAGGCCTACTGCAAGACCTAGCATGTTTTAGTTTCCCTTACAATACATGTGATTAGTAATAGAGTTATAGTAAATAAAACAGCAATCAAGAGGAAGAAAAAACTAAAGCAATTGTGTAGTAGCTCATATGGGACTGGCAATTCTTACTTCTTGACTTCTCTGTGAATATGAAGAACTGAGGCTCAGACCAAAGTGGCCTTGTTGGCCTCATAAAGACCAAAGTCTCATCAGATACATTTTATTAGTTTTGACATGTCTCTACATTCTGCCACAGTCAAGGTTCAAGATTTCCACAGCTTCTAGTAGTTCTACATTCAATGTGTAGAATGTTGCAACTTCTGCTGTGACTGTGAGGCACTAGAAGGTCGTGCAGACATTTATAGCCTATATACTGTAGAGTGAGATAAGACTGGGGTCTGTGTGTACAGTACAGGCAGATTTATGCAACGGTCAGTCAAATTTGAAAGATCATTTTTAACACGTTTACCGTTGGCAGTGCCACAAATGCGTTTGGATCAGGGTCCTGTTTGTGTCTGCACCTGTGCTCAGCTCAACATTCCCCATGGCTTGCTGTGTTATCCTAGACATGTAATGAATGGTCTTGTGTGATTTGACTGTGGACCTACGCTAATTGCCCTCTGCTTATGGTTGAAGTGAACCATCCCATCTTTCTGTCCCTTACTGCCTCCCGTTGGTGCTTCTCAATTACTGCTGCAACCAGCATTTTTACTCATCTGTCTGTGTTTGGTCAGTCAGTATTTCCAAAATCCTTGGTTTGCTTGAGCTGAGGGCTCAGGCTGTTTAGGAAGATGATCATTAGCCAGTAAGGACAGTGGTTGAAGAACAATTGTTAGTCTTGTTATTATGCAAATAAATTACAAAATAAAACCTCTGGGGCTGATACTCTGGACTTTTATTTCTAAACTGAAAGTATGTGAACCTCAAAAGCCTATGATAAAACATGTAACCGCAGCAGATTCATAGTAGTAGAAAGTAAAGCTTTCTTTTTTATTTCCTCGTAAGTTCTTCCCTAACATTGTCCCTGCGGACTTCCATAGCATTTTATCAGCTAACCCCGCAACATCCTTACTCTGTCTATATATGTGTGTATTCAAGATCCACTATGCAGGGACAGTGCCTACGTCCTACTATGTTCGTGAGTCAGTGAAGGTGGACTATGAACAGTGTCTAACAGTCAGCCGTGGCTCCTCACAGCAACTAGAATATGAGATCCTCTTCCCTGGCTGTGTGCTCAGGTGAGTGGACAGTAATTACTACTGCTATTACTCTCTTTCTCTCCCATCCTCTTCCTCGGTCTTACCTCTCTCTAACCCCACTCTGTCCTGTTCTATCTCGGCCTCCCTTTCCTTCCCCACCTTTCTTTTCCTCTCGATCTCTTTATCCCTTTATTGAAAAATGTATGCACTCACAAACTGTAAGTCGCTCTGGATAAGAGCGTCTGCTAAAATGACTCAAATGTAGTATAGGGTAGCCCTGCATCGAGTCGGATACCCATGGTTCCCTGTGGTTGACCTGCAAAAAAGTCAGCTGGCGGGTGGAATGAAAACATTCTTTCAACCCACGGGTCGGCTCGCGGTTCAGAACAATTATATTGCGTGTCGTAAACGTTTTAAATCCAGATTTTTTAAAAAAATTTACAAACCCAGGAGCTTGTAGTGTTGCATTGTGTTGCGAATTCCATTCGGTGAGCGGTGAGGCAGACATATAAGCTACCAGCCACACATGCAGTTGATCAGGGAACTGTCCATTATTTGTGTGGTGCTGAAATGGATCCCCCCACACGAGAATACGTTGCCAGGTGTACTTTCCCTGGCTAGCATAGCTCATGTGAAAATGGCCAACGTAGGTATTTGTTTACGGGTATTTATTTACGATAGGCTAATTCAGTTAATTATCAAATAACTATTACGTTACTTCAGTCATTTATTTAGACCATACGCAGGCCATATCAAGTTTAAACCGGTGCGCTGGTTAAAGTTTAAGTAGGCCTAGGTTATAGCCTACCAAATAAATGTTTTTTTGCAGGCTATATTCGATTCTGGGAATTGTTTATCTACTTTTAAATTAAACAATTTAATGATCTAAACAATATTGAATGTAAAGGTATTGTTTTCTTATGTAAGGTTCATTAAGTAAGAAGGCTAATTAGAAGGCCCTTTTCCAGAGCAATTTTAATTGTCAATGTGCCACATCTCATTGTAAAAATGTAATTATATCGTTCTGGCATGGTTTCATGGCATAGTTTCATTTTATCCAAATGTTGATTAGACATGCATATAAATTAATTCATGCAGGGAGGGGAATAATAGCCTGCTACTCTGGAGTCATAAAAACTATTAAATTAATTGATGTTGTTTGGCGGGTCACGGATCGGCTCTCGGAACAATTCTATCCCGGTGAGTCAGGGGGACGCATTCAACGATGTCCGGAGGGCCACACTGAAAATTGGTTATGTTGGTTATACTTCCTCGCCATTAAAATTTGCAAAAAATTGTTTGGGAATTGTTGATGCTCCCTGACTGTCTAGCTTTCATTTAGGTGGTTATTAGCCAGCTGAACACAGTTAAGAAACTGTATGAACGTAGGTCCATTATCATTTCCACACAGTTTCGATTTGGTTTTAGTCATTCTAAAGTATATTGAGTTCGTACCCGGGCCGTATGTTTGACACCTCTGCTCTCTCTTTTTATCTTCTTCTCCTGTTACCCTCTCTCTTACTATTTATCTGTCCCTCACTTTACTTTACATTTAGTCTGAACTAAAAAGGGAAAATATATTACATCAATACAGAAAACCCTTTATATAAAATATAACACATCTCTTTATATAACATAATATCTCCCCACATGCAGGTGGCAGTTTTCTAGTGATGGGGCAGACATTGGCTTTGGGGTGTTTATGAAGGGGAAGATGGGAGAGAGGCAGAATGCAGGGCAGATGCAGGAGGTGGTTCCCAGCCAGAGATACAACGCCCACCTGGTCCCCGAAGACGGCTCTCTCACCTGCAGTGAGCCTGGAGTCTGTGAGTACAGGACAGCTAGACAGAGACACATAAGGGATTACTAAACATATACCCTTTTCACGCTATCGTGCCATCCCAAACCAAACTGTGCTGGCTTGAGTATTTAAAAAAGAAAATACTTCCAGCAACTTTAAAGCTTGGTTTGATTAGGCTCAGTAGTGTGAAAAGCCCTACTGTGGGCTCGAACAGGGGTACAGTGACACATGGAGACTTGGGCAGGGGCACATAAGAACCTAGCCCAGTGGTACTAGACAGAGATTGGATCTCCGGCTACCAGTATAACAACTTGCAACTTCAACTCCCTCCAAAGATTTTCTATGGGGTTGAGATCTGGAGACTGGCTAGGCCACTCCAGGACCTTGAAATGCTTCTTACGAAGCCACTCCTTCGTTGCCCGGGCGGTGTGTTTGGGATCATTGTCATGCTGAAAGACCCAGCCACGTTTCATCTTCAATGCCCTTGCTGATGGAAGGAGGTTTTCACTCAAAATCTCACGATACATGGCCCCATTCATTCTTTCCTTTACACGGATCAGTCGTCCTGGTCCCTTTGCAGAAAAACAGCCCCAAAGCATGATGTTTCCACCCCCATGCTTCACAGTAGGTATGGTGTTCTTTGGATGCAACTCAGCATTCTTTGTCCTCCAAACACAACGAGTTGAGTTTTTACCAAAAAGTTCTATTTTGGTTTCATCTGACCATATGACATTCTCCTAATCCTCTTCTGGATCATCCAAATGCACTCTAGCAAACTTCAGACGGGCCTGGACATGTACTGGCTTAAGCAGGGGGACACGTCTGGCACTGCAGGATTTGAGTCCCTGGCGGCGTAGTATGTTACTGATGGTAGGCTTTGTTACTTTGGTCCCAGCTCTCTGCAGGTCATTCACTAGGTCCCCCCATGTGGTTCTGGGATTTTTGCTCACCGTTCTTGTGATCATTTTGACCCCACGGGGTGAGATCTTGCGTGGAGCCCCAGATCGAGGGAGATTATCAGTGGTCTTGTATGTCTTCCATTTCCTAATAATTGCTCCCACAGTTGATTTCTTCAAACCAAGCTGTTTACCTATTGCAGATTCAGTCTTCCCAGCCTGGTGCAGGTCTACAATTTTGTTTCTGGTGTCCTTTGACAGCTCTTTGGTCTTGGCCATAGTGGACTTTGGAGTGTGACTGGTTGAGGTTGTGGACAGGTGTATTTTATACTGATAACAAGTTCAAACAGGTGCCATTAATACAGGTAACGAGTGGAGGACAGAGGAGCCTCTTAAAGAAGAAGTTACAGGTCTGTGAGAGCCAGAAATCTTGTACATATCTGTGTCTTTGCCTGTTGGGTGACGCTTTTCCCACTTCGGAGGGTATGTCCGTGGTCGGTGGATCGTTCTGATAAAGAATGCATTGTTTGCATCACCAAGCGGTGCACAGGAAATATTTTAATCCAATTGTTAGATGCTACCACCTCACCTCCAACTCAAAACCAATGTTTGTGCACACACACTCCATTCTACTTCTTGTCTGCAAGGCTGATTAGCTAGACAAAAAGGTGTGAAACACAGACATGTGTGCAAAGTGAGAACATAACATGGAATCCATGTTTGATTTTGATTTGGAGGGGGGTGGAAGCATATATCAATTAGATTTAATTCTTACTTGGGCACTGCTCAGCGACGCAAAGGACGACTTCCTAATCAGAGCCTACCGACCTACCGATTACGGATGTAAGGTCGGACGTGGGAAAAGTGTCGCCAAACAAGCATAGGAACTGTGAGCAAATAATTAGCAAGGTGGGTGTATGTTACAGTGAGGGAAAAAAGTATTTGATCCCCTGCTGATTTTGTACGTTTGCCCACTGACAAAGAAATGATCAGTCTATAATTTTAATGGTAGGTTTATTTGAACAGTGAGAGACAGAATAACAACCAAAAAATCCAGAAAAACGCATGTAAAAATTTATAAATTGATTTGCATTTTAAAGTGGAAATAAGTATTTGACCCCTCTGCAAAACATGTCTTAGTACTTGGTGGCAAAACCCTTGTTGGCAATCAGAGGTCAGACGGTTCTTGTAGTTGGCCACCAGGTTTGCACACATCTCAGGAGTGATTTTTGTCCCACTCCTCTTTGCAGATCTTCTCCAAGTCATTAAGGTTTTGGCAACTCGAAACTTCAGCTCCCTCCACAGATTTTCTATGGGATTAAGGTCTGGAGACTGGCTAGGCCACTCCAGGACCTTTTTAATGTGCTTCTTCTTGAGCCACTCCTTTGTTGCCTTGGCCGTGTGTTTTGGGTCATTGTCATGCTGGAATACCCATCCACGACCCATTTTCAATGCTCTGGCTGAGGGAAGGAGGTTCTCACCCAAGATTTGAGGGTACATGGCCCCGTCCATCGTCCCTTTGATGCGGTGAAGTTGTCCTGTCCCTTTAGCAGAAAAACACCCCCAAAGCATAATGTTTCCACCTCCATGTTTGACGGTGGGGATGGTGTTCTTGGGGTCATAGGCAGCATTCCTCCTCCTCCAAACACGGCGAGTTGAGTTGATGCCAAAGAGCTCGATTTTGGTCTCATCTGACCACAACACTTTCACCCAGTTCTCCTCTGAATCATTCAGATGTTCATTGGCAAACTTCAGATGGCCCTGTATATGTGCTTTCTTGAGCAGGGGGACCTTGCGGGCGCTGCAGGATTTCAGTCCTTCACGGCGTAGTGTGTTACCAATTGTTTTCTTGGTGACTATGGTCCCAGCTGCCTTGAGATCATTGACAAGATCCTCCCGTGTAGTTCTGGGCTGATTCCTCACCGTTCTCATGATCATTGCAACTCCACGAGGTGAGATCTTGCATGGAGCCCCAGGCCGAGGGAGATTGACAGTTCTTTTGTGTTTCTTCCATTTGCTAATAATCGCACCAACTGTTGTCACCTTCTCACCAAGCTGCTTGGCGATGGTCTTGTAGCCCATTCCAGCCTTGTGTAGGTGTACAATCTTGTCCCTGACATCCTTGGAGAGCTCTTTGGTCTTGGCGATGGTGGAGAGTTTGGAATCTGATTGATTGATTGCTTCTGTGGACAGGTGTCTTTTTATACAGGTAACAAGCTGAGATTAGGAGCACTCCCTTTAAGAGTGTGCTCCTAATTTCAGCTCGTTACCTGTATAAAAGACACCTGGAAGCCAGAAATCTTTCTGATTGAGAGGGGGTCAAATACTTATTTCCCTCATTAAAATGCAAATCAATTTATAACATTTTTGACATGCGTTTTTCTGGATTTTTTTGGTTGTTATTCTGTCTATCACTGTTCAAATAAACCTACCATTAAAATTATAGACTGATCATTTCTTTGTCAGTGGGCAAACGTACAAAATCAGCAGGGGATCAAATACTTTTTTCCCTCACTGTATAAGACTAGACCCAAGTTCCACTCAGGTCTAGAAACTGGGCAAATAAGATCCAGGCCTGGCATACAGGCACACAAAGAGGACAAGGGCCTGGAGTAAAGGTGTAGGACTTGACTGAGGTGACATCCATGTTGTTTTCTTTCTTCTTCAGATGTGCTGCGGTTCGACAACACCTACAGTGTCTTCCAGTCCAAACGCATCAGCTTCACCGTCGAGGTCCTGCTCCCAGGCCAATCTCAGTCTCCGAAGAAACGGGCTTGCTCACAAGTGGAGGCCAGCAACCAATCGCAGTCTCCGAAGAACCAGGATGTGTCAGAATCTGGGGCTAGCAGCCAATCGCAGTCTCCGAAGAACCGGGGTGGGTCAGAATCTGGGGCCAGCAGCCAATCGCAGTCTCCGAAGAACCAGGGTGGGTCAGAATCTGGGGCCAGCAGCTAATTGTGACAGACATTACTGAGCTAGAGCTAGTCTCAGCCCCACCATGGTCAGTGAAGTCAGACCTGAAAGCACTGAAACAGACTCCACTGGTCAGCACTGAGGTACTTCATCTGACAATCGGCCATTCCATGTGCTGCTCACGAATGAACGTATGTTGCTCTGGTCCAGTGCGTTACATGCGGCTTGCTGATGCTGAGACTTCAACATCAGCAAGCCACACGTAACGCCCTGGGCCAGAGCTAGAACGTACAATGAAGATTAACAAGTCCACAACTCAGGGTCCCTGGAATGGAGGAGATGTATTCAAACACTTGAACATTTTACAATAAGTTTATGGCTTTTAAAAATCTATTTTATTTTAAAGACCAGGAAGTATAGTATATCTGAATGTCATTGAGGGTTCAGGGTGTATTATTTTGCAATGCAGAGAGCAGAGCAGCAAGACCTCAGGAGATATTTATTTTGTCAACACTCCCCCACATAACCATCTGTTCAGTAGAATCTATTTTCTGTGGCAACAATGCATTATGAGCATTACCCTCTATTTCTCGCTCTCACACACTGGGTGAATTTCAAAAGTGTTTCCTTGATTTCTCATGTCCTTGATTCCTCAACATCCTTCTCAAAAGGCAAGGAATAAGGAAATACGTTTGAGATGTACCCTCTCGCTCTCAATCTTCCTCTCTTCTGTCTGTCATGATTTATGAGTCAAGACAAAATTAGGCCATTTTGAGTATGTCTTTTCTTTTCACAATCAACAAAGTTCTGCTCAAATTCATATGTTGACATACCGGTAGTTTTATTTTCAGGGAAAACAAACTATATTTTGGCTTTTAAATGTTAGAACACGAAAGGCAAAAACATCTTTGAGAATGCTAATATCCACTGTCCAAAATCTGTATCATTAAGTATTATTGCACTAGAATTACATTCCATGTTGTTGTTTAACTTACAACAGCAGTTTGTTCCTGTATAGGGTTGCAATTTGCAAAATTCCTGTAGCTTTCCCAGGTTTTCCAGAAATCCTGGTTGGTGGTCTGGATTCCCTGCTTATTCCCCTCCTGATTCCGGGAATCCTCCAACTGAGAAATCTAGAAAACCTAGGAATTTTGGGGAAAATTACCGGAATTTTGCAAACCTATTCCTGTATATCTATATGTAACAACAAGAGACATACATGCCCTGGTAAATGCTTGCCTTAAATACGTCAGTGTGTTTAAAGAATGTGCAGCACTAAACGAACTGGCCCCTTATGGGCAGTTGAAACACTCCAAACGCTCTATTATATGTAATCTGTAAATTGTACTGTATATTGATTGAAGTCGTGTTCTGCCAGCATCTTGATTAAGTATTTTGCACAGTGAAAATTATGGAATGTAGCTAGCTATTATAGCCTTAATTGATGTTGGTTTGTGCTCACTGTTCAATAGATCATTTATGTTACCTTTATGTATTTTAGTAATGAGTAGGGGGAACAGTACCTCCACTCCAAAACATTTCAATAGTTATTTGTCTTTTTGTGAACATTTGTCTTTCATTTCTTTAGTTAAAATTGGAAACATGTCATTTATTTTGGTAGAATTCATGTAGAGTCAGTGCATATCTAATATAACAGAAATAAGCCTGAGCTGTATCAATCTATTGGGAAAATAATATACATGATTGAATCAACTTGAATGAATCTCGTACAATAACCCGGCTCTCTTTCTCTGTCTAACCTATATGCAGATGTGGTAACAATTAAGCCTGGGGACTGAATATACAGTATACTAACTAAACAGGTACTTGGACGTACAGTACGGTACAAAATGATCGCACTTTAGAGCCCTGATAGTACCTTAGTCTACAAAAGCAAAGGTATGTCTGTGTCTTTCTCTAGTAGTTGTATCTATTGTAAGACAGTTAGTTTTCTAAGCATTTATTTGATTAGGGACAGATACCTTTAAAACATTATTTTGTAGTTAATTAGTATTTTATTTTGAACCAGATTTAGCTACATAGCAAATTTTTATCTGCAGTCCATGGGCAGGAAACATAAGACATCCCCATGGATACAGCACAGCAATATCTCACATAATACACAGCAGAATCACAACAATACATAATCAAATATATATGCTCGCCTTTCTACAGAAAACAAATTATATGTTCTACTAACTTCATTTTCTAAAAAACGTTACAACTGGCTTAACTCATTACATTTCAAGATGATTAAACACAATTAGATTAAGTAAAACTAAATCATTTTCTCAATGAAGTAAGTAGCACCAAAAATGTTGACATACTGTATATTATGAGGTATTTACTAAGTATAACTTATTGTAATCAAGTTAGTATGACTACTGCGCGTGTCTAAGTTACCACCACTCATATAATTGAGTGACTTAGGCGCTAATGTTTTAATGTCTCCAGTACCTTGCACCGCGCGGTGAGGAAGGAAGGCTTCACAGAGGAAACAAATGAAGGTAAACGAAACAATGTAATTCAATTGAATGATAATGTAGGTTATAGCAGCTGAAGGGAACTGCAAATTGGCAGTTGACTATGTGTGGTTATTAGGCCTACTAAAGGTCAGTACTGATAATGGCTAAACATTTTTACATGATAGAAATAGGAAACAGAGAAAGTCGGGGTAGCCTATAATTAAGACATTCGAGAGTGCCCATCCCTGCAAGTTAAGACCTTACAATTTAAATTCTGCATAATGGCACAGCATTTCATAAACTGTACTGTGGGAACGTTGATATGCTTCAGTGTGCTTCCATATGACTGGTTTCACATTTGTCTCCAGCGATTGTAAGGTAAAATATATCTAAAACAAGTGTCATTTATCCAAACGGATTACTCATTTACCTAGCGCTTATCAATAGGTCTTGCAGTGAATGGAGAATGGTGTTATTTCTATCGAAAACATTTTAATAGATGCTTTTCCCACTTGGAACCGGTAGGTTCGCTAGACCTTATTCATGGTTTCCTCGTACGTAAATGTGGTGGAATTATTAGGGAATTAAGTCAAAGGTCAGAATACGGCATATCTGTAGACACACCTCCGCCACACCTTCATTTATTTGAGCTCCACCCCAAACGAATAGTGGGTGAATGAATAGCATGCTAGGTCAGAATACACATAGAGAGAAAAGTGCATGAAAAGGGAATTACTTTCCATTTATGCGTGCTTAACTCAGGTCGGAATCAGGCCCTACGTTAGTAACCATAGTCTTGTCAAAAATGCTGCCTTCCTTAAAAACGAATAAGCGACAAGTGTGGCAAGTGTCACCGGCTGCTGGTAAGCTTTCTTGACTTGGACATTCATTTTTGCTAACCTTTGTTTAACCAGCTAAACAGCTGCTCTTGGCAGTGGTGATGTCGGTGGTAGAAAGTAGCTAAAAATGGGTGGAAACCCGGTGTAAATCAGTGACGCCTCGCAACACGTCAAACAAATTAAATGCCTTGCTTGGGCGGAGCTCCAAAGGTGCCCACTCAAAACGTCTCTTTTTTTAGTAGAGTGTTCAAGCAGAGAAGTTGTAATGCCTTCATCGACTCGATTTTATGTATAGAGCACACTTCTGGCAAAACAGAATTCTGTTTTTACTCCAGGTTTTCTTTCATTTTCTGCAATGGTGCAAACTAGCATACACAACAACTCTGCAAAATATGTCCTAAATGAGTGGTATACTACGAAGCAAGCTAGATCTACTCAAGCTTTTATAAAGCTAGCCAGCTTCAGTTCGCTTCACATTCCAGGTCAGGCTTCATCCGTACTACGACGGTGGACACTGCTTGTCCGCTTGCCGCTAACTCTAGCAGGCTTGTAACTGTGCATGAATGTCACACATGGCTAGTCGAACGCCCAACTCTTCATTGAGACAATGCTGAAACATCCATCCATGGGCGAGTCAGTGCCACATTTTCATTTGAAAAGCTAAATGAAAGAAAAGTTATCTTGCAAATTCAGCAGGCTATGGTGTGAAATAGGCTTTTAGAAGTGCCGTCTTTATTAGGCCTACTTATTGTTAATGCCGCTTTGGTGTGCTTATCAATGCAAGAGCACCTTTTTCCCAATCCTATCTCGCCTTCTTCTATCTGTGGAAAAATGACAGTCCGGGTTTTAGGACTACAAGCTGGCAAGCTCTATAGGCATGCTCTATGTTAGAGTTTACACTTCCTCTTCCAATTATAATGTGGGGAGGTCAAAATAACGAATGTTACGTATGTAACCACGGTTATGTGAGCTATTGGATCACTCCAATATGGTATCAAATACCGCGCGGCAGGATACATTCCGAATAAGAATTTCAGATAAGTCCCGTGTACCGGGTAGTGCTGCGGCTGACCCCCTTAAATAGCTGCCGCCGCACTACATCCACCTTGTGTCCTTTTCAAGGCGCCGTGATCACAGACAAAAAGGATTGGAGTGATTCAATAGCTCACATAACTGTGGTTACATACGTAACCTTCGTTATGTAGCACTATATTGGATCACTCCAATATGGTATCACAATACCAGATTAATCGGTGAACTAGGTAAGGGCCAGACAGAGTGCAAAGTCCCGTAGGACTGAGCTCAGGGTAGTCATAGTTGCTATGTCCCTCCGTCCTCACTCAGGGAAGCGGACTTTCTCACCATAGCAAACGAATAGCCGATCAGACTGTCGTATTGCCTGTGTCTGTATAATGTAAGGCCCTGACCCGGGCAGAGCACACTTCAGGAAAAAACACCCAGCGCAGCCGCGAGATAAGCTTATGCGGACAAATGTAAGGGCCAGTTCACATCTCTGTCAAACAGGACCTTCGACAAGAATGAAGGGTTAAACGGAGGGTGACACTCCTCTTGTCTGGACCCATTCTGAAACACATTCAGTGCTCACTGAAAAGGTATGAAGTTCACTCACCCTCTTAGTGGAGGTAATATCCAACAGGAATGCCACCTTCATGGATTGGTGCTTCAAAGTCATCAACTCTAGGGCTCGAGGGCGGCTTAGGAAGCACTGACAGCACCA